TCCGACCGGCTCGGATCGGACGCACTCGGCCCGCAGGGCCACGGGAGAACGAGAGAGGGAGCTCGGGAGTACCCGCTGCGCGGCAGGCAGATAGGCCAGCCAGCTGGCCGGCCCGGTCCTAGCGCTAGCAGGTCTCTCACTGGTTGCCCTGTTGCCAGAGGACGTGCTGAGGCCCTGAGCAAAGCTTTCGTTCCTACAAGGCCCGCTTTTGCACTGCCCCGAGACTCCCCGCCAGTTGCGGCGTATCCTAAGGGCTGCTGGCCGTGCTGAGATCCACGAGCTCTTACTGACTGGTGGGCAGAAGAGGACTGTCATCCCAGCAAAGGTGCTAAAAGAATTGCTCATAAATGAGCCTTTTGAAAACACAGGTCCTTTCTTTCTTCCAAATCTGTTGCTACATGGTTAGTCTGTTGTCAAGCTGCCAAACACACACTTGAAATTAGGGGAAAGACCACTTTTTAGTTACTAATTGATTACCATTCGCTTCCAAGAAATGCCCTAGTGGATACCCACCCTTCCTTATTGTTCACGGTTCACTAGAAATGCCAGTCGAGATCTTGCTCCAGCTTTTCATTTTGTTTGCTTTGCACACAACAAACATGGCAGTTTTTGCTGCTAGGGATGTGGCATGGAGTTTCACAGGTTAGAATTTGTGTAGCGCAGTGCTTAAAGCATTTGCCAAGGCCTGGGCAGCTTTAGGAACTGGGTAACCTTGGCCCAGACATTCTCAGCCCAGCCTACCTCCCAGGATTGTTGTGGAAAAAATGGAGGAAAAAGCAGTGTATTCACTACTTTTGCTGCTAGAAAAAAGGCAGGATATTACACACATAGTTGAAAGTGCCTCTTCCACACCCGTACACTGCATGAACACAATTGGTTGCCACAAACCAGGGATTTGGACCTGAAGGGTATGAATTTCTCAAGGGTTCTCGTTTTGGAAATCCAGTGGCTAGCCTGGTTCATACAGAACATTATGCCATATCGTGGTTGGTTGGTTTGTGGCCTCTACAATGCAGCCCCAGCCATTGTGAGTTTTAATCATGCTGTGTGGCTTGGTGTGTTCTTGAATCCAGTCAATGGTGTTTATTCAAGCATCATGTTGCAGCAAACCACCATGGCTTGGCATGACATGTAAACATAGGATCTGGATGTCTCCTCTTTCATCATGCCCACCCTGAACATGGAGGTGATCACATCACTTAAGCATTTGCAGTTCCAAGGGGCTTTGGAGGGTGGAAGGGATGGAGAGAAGCTTCCATGGATATACAGTAGGTGGTCCCGCTAACTAAGAGGCAGCTTCCTGTTCTGTTCTTGCTCACTGCAAAAGTGGCCATCACCTTCAGTTACTTGTTATGAAATCCCTACATAAAAACTAATGAACTGAACCCAGCTAAACTGTTCGACCTGAATGTTCATGCTTGTTTTATTTATATTTTTAATTATATCAATTTATATGGCCACCCATCTTACTATGCAACTTTGAGCAGCTAACCAGAATTAAAATACTATATATATATTAGTATTTATTTATTTATATATATATATATAAAAATAAAAAACATTTCCCAATCAACTAACGCAAAATGGCTCCTAAACGTAATGTGGGCTCAATTACCCTCCTGGCCCCCCTGCCTAGGAAAACAGCCCGGTCTTCAAGGCTTTCTGAAAGGTGAGTTGAGTTGGGGCCGGCTGAATCTCAGGCAATATGGTATTCCAGAGGGCAGGCACAGCTACGGAAAAGGCGCACCTCCTGGGTTCCACTAGATGACAATCCCTAATAGATGGGACCCAGAGCATGCCCCTCCTGCCCAACCTAAAGGGATGGGTAGAAACCATGGGAGTATGGTGGTCCCTCAACTACCCTGGCCCCATTCACTCCTATCCCAAAATGCAGGCTTTTCTATCAACATTTTGCCAAACTACTGCAGCACAGCCTTTGAGATTGGTTTTGAAACTGCAGTTGGTCCAAACTGCAGCAGCCCAGCTGGTAACTCGCATAAATAAATCGAGCAGTAAATCAAGAGTGCTTCAGCCTCTCCACTGTTTATCAGCAAGTTTCCTGATCCAAGTGCTGATGTTAACTGTATATGTATTCACTAAGAATCAATACTGACTTAATGGCAGATAATCAGTTTGTTAGGTTAACCTCCACCTTCTTTCTAGGAGTTCAGGTGGTGTGCATAGCATTCCCATTTTCCCCTACAACTATATTTGAATGAGAGATAGGCTGAACTGAGAGACAATAAAAGGCCCAAAATTATTCAGGGAGCATCCAAGGCTCTCTAGAAATGTTTCCCCAAGAAGAAAAATAGTGTTCTGTGCATCCGTAGAGGAGAGAGTACTTTGGAAGCACTTTTCCAGGGGGTACAAGTAGTCCTCGTTTAGCAACCATAATTGGCACCAGCAACTTGGTTGTTAACTGAAGCAATCGCTAAGAAACTGCGACTGTGCTTGCAATCTCACTTTAGCTTTCCTTTGCTTTACAAACGTGCAAAAGTCATAAATGCAAGGATTGGTCGCAAAGTTACTTTTTCATTACCATCATAATTGTGAACAGTTGCTGTACGAGGCAGCTGCTAAATGAGGACTACCTGTACATAGGTGCAAGAGCATCCCCACCAACCAGTGGGGGGAATGAGATGAGGGTTACACTGCAGTGAATGCATCTACATTGTTCTCTGGGCCATTCAGCTTCTCTGCTCTTGTGGAGTCCCCAAGAGGGTTCAGAGTCCATCTATAGGGAACCTCAATGGGCTTATCCCCAAACCCCTATTCCATGGAGGCTGGCAAGGTGAATCGCCTTTTAGGAATTGGAAGGAACAGTTTTCACCTCTTTCACTCTTGGTGTGGTTGTAGAGGAAAGAGAGAAGGGCCTTGAGAGACAGGAGGAAGGACTGCTGCAAAAGCAACGGTTAGATAAAAGAAACCTGGGTCCAGGGCAGGAATGTAATATATGTAAACATCTTAGACAAGCCCCTCCCTAGTGCGCATGAATGTAAGGTGGGGAAGTGCATTCAGACTTGAAAGATTCTGTTACTGTGACTTTATAGTAAAAGTACTATTGGTCTACATGACTTTGGTTTCCTAGTCTAGTCTACCTTGAAGGGCTGACAGTCGTGCCCCCAGAGTCCCTCCCAAAATTGCTGCTGAATTTGTATTTTTTCTAATGTGACCACATTCCTATTAGATTCATAGGAAGCAATCTTATGCACTGTACTTGATTACTCAATGTTAATACTGAAACTGATTTTTTTTCAGGGGGTGTCCCTGCTCGCCTGTTCCTTTGCACTGGCCTACCTCCTTTTTGGGCTGCATGCTGTCTGAAGGCCCCGCACAGTCCTCAACCTCAAAAAGATTGTGTGAAGCACTGGGTGAGCTGGTTGGGCTTGTGGGTGGTTTGCCTTGGTTGAACTAGGAGGGCAACATTTCTTTCTTTTTCCAGAACACACTCTCAGGGGGCTTCTTAAAAGCTAGACCATAATGATTCTTCTTCCAGAAATAGTGCTTGCCAAATGGGTCACGCTGTGAAAGAGAGGACTGGAGGGTTTTCCGGAAGGGTTGTTGAATGTGGCAGGGGGCCAGGGATGGGATCATGAGGCCCAGCCCTCAATGTCTCTCAGACCATTTCCTCAATAATGATTTATAACTCCCTCTAAACGCCATGCCAACACTACAATAACTAAGACAGGCATTATTTTGTTGCAACAATGGCTGGGTGACATTATCGGTCACTCTTAAGTCACCAGTGAGGAAATGGCCTCACTTGGATTTTCAAAATTTGACCATGGTGGCTACATATGCATTGAGGGGTGTGGTGCACACACACACACACACACACACACACGCACTTGCAGAGCATCGGAGGGAAACTTGGCAACTGGAATTGGAGTGCTGTTAGCCCCAGCCAGGTAAAGGAAGAGGCTGCCTGAGGAGCCTCTGAAACACCATAATGCTCTCCCACATCAGCAAAGACAATGATGGGGTTAAGTCAGGCGTCATAACCGAAAAACAAGCAGTGGTGAGCTCCGGGCGGGGTGCCCTACCTGCCTGCCTGCCTGCCTGCCTGCCTGC